GCCTTTAAACCCTCATCACAATGATTTTCTGGCTTGCCTCTTATTATTTAATGTAACTCGCAAAAAACCATATATTTGTAAGTTCCCTGAGAAGACGATATTTTAGACTACTGTGAAGGTAGAACAAGCTTATTAGAATTCATCTGCACTGAATGATTACACCAACTTCACAATTATCAAGATTGGTGGTTGTTTGTTTTCTTCTGCCACTGACATATAGGGTAAAGTAAAACGAAACAGATCATGGCTCAGTCTGATCACTGACAAGACACATTCCTCCTGGGAAGAGGTTCGGTCAGACTTGATGCACAAACATTGTTTGATTTCCTTCATTATACATTTTATTTCACTTTGCAATGTGAATTCTTTTTTCCGCTCCTTTCTTTGGTGAGGTTTGAAAGCAACTTGAAATGGAATAAGATGCAGGCATAGAGTCACAAATATTGAACTTAACCCCACCCCAAAACAAACTCAGAATAGAAAATGAGGCTGTGTTTTATGCACAGATGTCTTGCATTCAGATGATTTCCTTCAACCTACATCTCAAATAGAAATACAGACCGAATAATAATTTAAAATCTTATTTGAGTAACAGAATTACAATAGATCATCCTCTCTGGATAAAAACTGCTTGGACTGGCTAGTATTTCAAATATAAGGATGGGATTCTTATTCTTATTGCAGCTCAATTCTTATTGCAGCTCAATTCCCTAAGGGCATGTCTACCCAGCAGCGCTTTTTCGAAATAACAGAGTGCACGTCTACACAGCAAGCCCGTTATTTCAAAATAATTTCAAAATAATGGGCTTCTTACTCTGACTTCTGTAACCCTAATTTCACAAGGAGTAAGGGAAGTCAAAGGAAGAGTGTTCTTCCTTCAACTTCCTGCTGTGTAGACAACACCAAAAGCTGAAGTACTTCGACTTCAGCTGCACAATTAATGTAGCTCAAATTGCATATCTTAATTCAACTTTAGCCCATAGTGTAGATGTACCCTTAGGTACTTTTGAGAATCCTACCCTAGAATTCTTAAAGTTAGACACCTACATGCATAGTTAGGCTCCTAAAAAAGAAGTGGCCCAATTTTTAGCAGTGTAAGCACCCACTGCTCCTACTGACATGGCTGAGTTAGAACTATAATATTTGGCCCATAAAGAAGATCCAGCTATTCTCAAACCCCAAGATATTGCTTGCTATCACATTTTCCCATATTGTGGTAGATAATATACAGAGTGTAAACTAATGAAAGTTGGTAATTGCTTGGCTATACCTTTATGAGGGATATCAAACAATTGTAATACTTCCCATGATATTATTAGAGATGTTTTCTTCAAGTCGCCATCATTTTCCACACAATGTCTGGCGAGGTGCTAAACTCTTTGACCCTGAACTTCTGCAAGGTGTTCAATACTTTGACCCTAATCCAGCAAAGTATCCAAGCATGAAATTGACTGCTGCTCAGTACCAGGCAGAATCAAACCCACATGCATACATGTCACCTGGCTTGTGATTAATTTCTTCTCACTGACTTTTCCCTGTTGTTCTACCCCTGCAAGGGAGGATATCTGGTGGGAGTAACCCACCTTCTCTTCACATATTTGTCTCCAATTGCTCAGTCACAATCCAGGTGGAACTTTTCAGTTTCAAGAGTCCTTCTCTCCTCCTTTACAAGGATAACATGTTATTTCATGTATTTATTCTCAAGCTTCCTGGCCTTCTCTCTACAAAGGGTGATAAAGCTACAGCTACCTGCAGTCATTGGTACCAGAACTGAGGGGGGAGGTAGGAGGCCAAGCCTCTCACTGCCCCACCTGTTAACAATTGAAACATATGCCCGGTGGGAGGGGGGAAAACCCCCATGATCATACTTCAACAGCCATATTGCTGGGAGAATTCTGTGCCCTGCAGATCTCTTCCCCTGCAGAATACTCAGGAAGGCACTGCAATTACACACACACACACCCACCCATCAGGGGCTTCTGTGGTGCCAGAAGTGAGGGTAGCTGGCTCACTGCCAGAGCTGCAGAGATGGAAGGGGCAGTTTGGCCTTGAGTACACAACTTCTATAAAGGTTCCAGGATCCTTGATGTCAGCTTTTCCTTCTCTCACACAGCCCCAAGCTCTCTCCTGTGCCTGGTTCCCTCTCTGACCATAGGCTAGTAGTTCATCTTTCTGTACTCTGAATTATTCAGCCCTCTACTGGTTGGAGGCTGACCTGGGTAACCATACACTCCACTGGCTACCTCCTTTCTCTTCAGTTCTTCTTGGACCACGGGGAGGAAGCCAGCATTGATCCCCAGGTTCATTAAGATTCTGTTTGAAGCAAAATCTTGATGTGGTATGATGCAACCCAATTTGCACGGGGTAAAGCTATGCTAATTTGAAGGTGATGTGAATAAACACATGGCAATGCATTTCCTAAGCCTCAGTTCTGTGATCTGTTAAAAACCCTGTAAGCCATATTGGTAAATTTGAGTCAAGTCATAGAAGAATTAAGTCGAGGAAAGATTAAGAACCAGATTTCAAGAAGATGTACTTTCTGCCTTGATCTCATATCTACTGCAGTCAATGGCAGCCTTTCCACTTACTGGAATTGGGCACTTACTGGCTACCTAAACTCAAGGGCTACGTCTACACTGGCATGATTTTCCGGAAATGCTTTTAATGGAAAAGTTTTCTGTTAAAAGCATTTTCAGAAAAGCGCGTCTAGATTGGCAGGAAAAAGCACTTTTTGTGGAAAAGCGTCTGTGGCCAATCTAGATGCGCTTTTCCGCAAAAAAGCTTTTTTGCGGAAAAGAAATCTCTGCTGTCTACACTGGCCCTTTTGCGCAAAAGTCTTTCGGAAAAAGACTTTTGCCCGAACGGGAGCAGCATAGTATTTCTGGAAAAGCACTGACGATCTTACATGAGATCATCAGTGCTTTTGCGGAAATTCAAGCGGCCAGTGTAGACAGCTGGCAAGTTTTTCCTCAAAAGCAGATGATTTTGCGGAAAAACTTGCCAGTCTAGACACAGCCAAGCTGTATACTCAGGAAGAGAACATAAAAGGTACTGAAAAGGAGCAATGAATATCATTTTATTACCCCTTCTGCATTGCCTGCCTACATAGGTCCAGACTCTCTTTTGTTTTGACATCTGCTGAGTGCAAGACTGGGTGCAGTGAGGAAGACAATGGCAATTCTCCAATTCTTAAATTACCCCTAACCCAGTGCACATTAAAATCCAGTTCACATCAGTTGACTCTGTTCCAATGGGAACCACATCATATGCCAGTGCAGAATTAGTGGAGCACAAACACTGTGCCATGTACCCTACACCATAGCAGAAGAGGGTAGCTGGCATAGGAGACAGCTATTTTGACTTTATGTCCACTTAGAGCTTCTCCGTACATATGTAGGGAATTATCAGCTACCTAGTTAGGGCCAGAACCTGACCACTTTGTTCTGTGTAGAAGTGGAAATAGGCCAGAATAGGGAAAATAATCTGGCCTGTAGGGCTAAACCTACAGATCAGATGCTGATGCCACTTGCATAACTGTAAATGTTCTATCACTCCCAAATTATACCAGTGTAAATGAGCTCAGAATATGGTCCACAGGGGCAAATCCTGATGTGACTGAAGGCAATAATAAAAGGTTCATTGACTTCAGTAGGACTAGAACTTAGCCCTTTCCTTCTCCTACTGATATTTGACTACAGATGCAGGATGGGAACATTTAAGTAGCAAACCAATACATAGTGTTATTTTGCCATGACAATCTGTTGGTATCTTGATTAACTATGATAGGTTTTTCATTGAGAAATATTATGTCGTCATTCATATGAAAGTGATGCTATCGTAACCCACTTTTTTGGCACAATGTTGTGGTTTCTTTATTTTTGTCAGTCAGAATGAAGCTGTAGAATTTAAATATTATATGTGAACAAAAAGTAATGCTTATGTTCTGCTGTTAGATGTTCCAGTATTTTTTGTTTATTTAATAATTTTCTGGAATAGCTCACAGACATTGGCTTCCATTACTCAAATATTTCATCTAGATTCAACTTTATAGCTGTGCTGAAATATAACTGGTAATCTGGCCTAAACCAGAAGGCAGCCAATTATATTCACAGGAAAACATTAATCTGAGCTGAAGAATTTACAGCACATGTGTGCAATCTTTCCTTCTTATGCATACCACTCTTGTTCATCCTCTCCACCCCTCCATGTTTCACTAGTCTATCAAGACAGTGCCAACTTCAACAGCATTGTCCAAAGGAAAGGAAAAATTAACACATGGTTTGCTTTTCTTTCATGCATTCTGGACCTGGGCTTTGAAACGAATGAGAATTTGGTTTTTCCTGTTGGAAAAACCATGAAACATACTCTTAATCCTTATTTCTAACATATATAGGTACAGAGCCAGAGGGAGGCATGATTTGAGAGAGAGGTGATTGGATAAAAGTGGGGCAGGGGGGAGTACCACGAGGTTATATGGGAGCAGAGATCAAAAGTTGGGGGCAGGAGCAAAGCAGAGGCAGAGATCTACAGGCAGTGGGCACAGAGGCAGTAAGATCTTCAGCTACTGGAGAACACTGCCTTCCAGAACCTGGAATTGAATCCAAGAGGCTTGAGTCTTTGCATTCCTCTGCTGTCAACAAATAGCCGTGACTCCCACTGGCTTGTCCAGGATAACAGTCTACTATAGCTATCGGCTACTCTGTTATCTCAAGTGATAGAGGTCTGGATTCTGTACTGTATCTAAAATCCAAACCCTGCTAAATACCCAAGATGGAGGTCAAAATGGTTCCACATGATGGAATTTCTGGGAGATTTTCCAGGGTTATATTTAAATTAGGACATTTAAAAAAACGACAACAATCGACTTTAAAATAATGTTAAGGCTTCAAAGCCACGCATGCAAGAGTTAGAAAATGCCAGAATTATAGTTGGCCATGCAATTTTACTTTGGTCCCTTTATGTATATGCATTAGGATACAGTCAATTATATGGCCACTTACTTTTTTTCCACAAGGACTCCTGCTTCTTTCAGTGCACAGGATGGACTTGCTCTAGGGATGAACCAGGGCTATGTAAATTAAGAGGCTGTTGTCTCTAGGACCACTGCTTCATTTGTTGCAGAAGTTGGAAGGTGTGTTGTGGATGAAGACAGGAGCTGAACAACAAGAAAGGATTCAGGTCAATGCGGTTGAATGTTGTCCTGGAGAACTAGATACTGTTTCTCCCTCTGCCACAAGGCTGTCATGTGTGGTTGCACAATTCACTTCCATCAAACCTGTCACAGGTGGTCACAAACTGTACATTCCTCATTTCTGGTTGCCTTTTCTTTTTGGGGTTACCAGTTCCGAAATGCCTCTTCCCTTTTTCTAGGGAGCGACTGCAGTCCTCCCTTTCTCCTGGGTATGTCTTTCCTTTCTCCAGCAATCTCTTCTCCATTCAATTCCTGGGCTTTAAAGGATACACCCCTCAGTTGAGTCTCCTCAGTCAGCTGCTGAGTGGGTTAATTGGCCCATCTAGCTTGTATTTAACCCTGCATGGTGAGTGTGGGGTAGTCACCCCATCACAGCTTGATATGTAGTGAAAGTTGTATAAGTAACCACAACCTTCATTGTTAAAAAAATGCTATTAGGGGAAGGTGGCTAGGAAAGAGACTGTGAGGGGTTTTCTTGAGCTGGAAAAGAGGAGACATGCTTTCATTGGCTAACCAGGATCCAGGGTTACTGACCTGTCATTATGACAACTCTTGTCTTCAGAGGTATTGTGCAGCTTGGATACCAAGTTAGACTCATTCTGCCCCTTGTTACCTTGGCTGAACTTCTTTACTGGACCAGTAGAGTGCTGTTCCCAGCTTCAAGAATGTCAAGCATGCCCATATGAACATCTGTGTAACATAGTCTTCAGAGAGCAAGGTGTCCTTTCAGTTCAGTCCCTCATCTGAGGGTGGGATTAGCCTTACCCCAGGTTTGCAATGGCTTTGACTTCTTATCAGGGGCATTTTAGGACCTTGTCCAGGAGCCCTCAGGCGAAGTGTGTCTTCCTACCTATTCTAAGCCGGTTTACTCCCTTTTAAGCTTTCTCTCCTATTGGACCATTTTCTGCAGGCCTGGAGGGGAAAGGCTGCCTGGGCCCAGGTTTGTCCTTTAATCCCTTCAGGTTTGCACACCCCATCACAGTCTGAAATGCTGAAATGAAAAGGGGTGCATGGTCAGGCATGGGGCAATTAGTGGCAGTATGAATGAATGTTGGTTATGTTTTATTTACGATTGCAAACTGCATTTATGAATTGATTTTTTGAAGTTCCCCTTGCTGACAAAGTGATTGTGACACATTAATTTCAGTAGTGTATCCTGTTTTTGTAAATGGTTAAATAAAGGTTAAATAAAGGTGTGTTAACGCTAATCTCAGAGTATATTGTTTATATAAGTTTGGGTACTTTTGGGCTAGACCCATTGCGTAGAAAATTAATTGAGGTTTATTCCTGGAGGCTTCCAAGGAATTCTGGGGGAGGAGGAGTGCACAGGGCCCAGCCAAATGGAGGCACTGCCAAAATGTATTTACTTATAAGTAAAATGACTGCAGCAGACAAGTGAATAGAGGATATTCACTATCCTGCTCCACCTCTGGGATTCTCAGGAACTCCTTTACTATCAATACTACCAGGTGCCTGAGCACACAGATGGGTGTTAAAAATAAAGTTCTATGAAGTAGTATGTATGTTCTTTTGTTTTGCTTCTTGTCATTTAATTCATAGTTATGTTGAGATTTCTGCATAACCCAGGAAGGAACAGGGAGGATTACAAGTGCAGAGCTCCACGACAGCAAAATTGCCCTACATTTTCTAGACCTTTAATTGCTCTTTTATCAAATGTGAATGAAATATGACTATTTCATTTCACCTGCCTCAGGTTTAAGTGATGATAATTCATGACCCTTTAAGGTCAGATAGGATTTGTATATGCAAGGAAAGCTGTTTTAGGTCACTTTTAGAAGTTTATAAGGTACAGGAATTGTTATATGTATAATGCTATTGGGTGAAAGGAATGACAGAAGTGGCCCTTTATGGCACATAAGAAACTGTACAAATTATGACCTCATCATAATGCAATCACTGAATGTGGCACATACTAGCATCCTTCTTAGCAGTCTCAGCAGGCAAACTAGAAATTGAATGAGCATAGAGACTGAACTCCCTTCTCACCACTAGAGGAGGCCCATCCAGAAATGGTTCAGGTATAGGCTAAAGCAGTGCTGCTAATGTTGTACCTATTCTAAGGCTAAGAAAAGAACTCCATTCGCAAGATACTATTTTCTCATTCCTACGCACATACACACTTAGGATTCATATTTTAAAATACAATAGTTATTTAAGTATGTATTAAATTACATATGTATGCATCCAGGCAAATTATTAAAAGTAAAGTTCTATGAGGTAGTGTGTATGTTCTTTTGTTTTCTCCTTGTTGTTTAATTCAGAGTTATGTTGAGATTTGAGATGAATCTTAAGTAGTTTTTTGGCATCAAGACGTGCAAAGTTTTAACACAATGCTTTTGCTTATGGATTTTGGCAACACTTATTCCTTGCATGTTACTTGTGGATCTCAGGGAAAAAAATGTGCAGAGCTGCATTTGTTTCTTGGCCTTATGGATGCTATAAAAGCTATTTTAGTGCTTATTCTTTGCCAGCTATTCAGAAAAATGTAATGTTACTTGAATTTTATAAATACATTTCTATAGGACTGTTTTATGTTAGTATAGGTACTTTGGTCTTTACATTGAAAAAGCAATTCAGAAAACTTGTATTTGTGAAAACCAAGGAAGCACATGTGGTATGTTTGCTCAGGTATATCGAAGACTTTCCTTCCACAAGGAATAGCAAAACAAGAGGACAATTTATGGACGTGAAGCAATTCTTATTTAGGCAATAGAAGTTTTGCCATTGATTTCAATGGGAGCAGGATGTAGCATGAACATGAAGGGTTGCACTTAGATAAACTCTTCCTAGACTATAAGGTCTTTGGGCGAGAGCCTGACTTTTCGTTATTTGAATAGACTATACCTAGCACAAGGAGACCCTGATCTCTAATTGGGGGCTGTAGACACACACTACTGCAATAAAAATATAATTACTATATTTATGAATTTGTTAAAAGTAGTATATTATATTTATTAATTTGTTACATCACAAAGCTGAGCACACTAACAATTTGCAGTAAGATGTCAGGTGTAGGAAATATGTCTGCTGCCTAGTATATAAGGGTATGTCTACACTTGCCCTCTAGTTTGAACTAGGGAGGCAAATGAAGCATATTGAAGTTGCTAATGAAGTGCGAGATTTAAATATCCCATGCTTCATTAGCATATTCACAGCTGGTCACCATTTTAAAATGCTGGTAACCCGAATTAACTTGCCGCAGTAGACGTGGTAGTCAATTCAAAACCCTTCCCTCGAATCAACTGTTACTCTTTGTGCAATGAGGAGTAACAGTTAATTCGAGGGAAGGGTTTTGGATTGGACTACTGCTTCTACATACGGTGAGTTAATTTGGGCAATCGGCATTTTAAAATGGTGACCGGCCGTGAATATGCTAATCAAATGTGGGATATTTAAATCCCGTGCTTCATTAGCAACTTCGGTATGCTTCATTTGCCTCCCTAGTCCGAACTAGGGAGCAAGTGTAGACATACCCTAAAACAGAAGCTGATCCATTTTCAACATATGATAGGCAAGTGTTTCTGGGTGACTGGTCCCTGCAAGGAGAAAGGAGGCCAGCTAAACCTCTGTCATAATTAACTGTCTCCCAGCCAGAGACACCAGGGCTAGTGGGTATGGGGGATATTAACATCAAGTCTTGACAGAGGATGTTGTGAAGACTATGGCTACGTCTACACTGGCCCCTTTTCCGGAAGGGGCATGTAAATTTCACTAGTCGTCGTAGGGAAATCCGCGGGGGATTTAAATATCCCCCGCGGCATTTAAATAAAAATGTCCGCCGCTTTTTTCCGGCTTTTAAAAAAGCCGGAAAAGAGCGTCTAGACTGGCCCCGATCCTCCGGAAAAAGCGCCCTTTTCCGGAGGCCCTTATTCTTACTTCAAAGTGAGCATACATCCTTTCCCCTCAGTTAGCTACTTGGCTGAGCTGCAGTGCCTCCTTTTAAGTCCCTCTTTGTGGTGTTTTAGATGCTGCTTGTAATTATTAGAACTGGGAGCACTGGCTGTTGGGAATCTGGAAGCACAGGAAGGAGGGGGGAGGAGATGGGCCAGGCTGAGTGAGAGCTACAGCAGTAGCTTTGTAAAGAGGCTTCATCTTTGTTAAATAAAGGCCTGTTGAAGTTTGTTACTACTTTGCTTGCATGATACAACATTTTGGCGACGAGGATGGATCTTCTGCCTCTGAACCCACCTGCGTCCCTAGCCTCTGTTTGTCAGAGGCTGGAAATAGATGACAGGAGAGAGATCACATGATGATTCCCTGTTCTGTTCTCTCCCTCTGGGGCATCTGGCATTGGCTACGGTTGGAAGACAGGTTACTGGGTTAGATGGACCTTTGGTCTGACCCTGTATGGCCGTTTTTATGTTCTTATGTCAGGCCAGGCTTGGGAGAGGCTCAGATAAGCCCTCAAGTTGCAGCACGGGTTTTCTGCAAACTTTCTGGATACCGGGGCTAATGGGATGCGGTATTAGCATGGTGAACACCCGGGCCTCATAATAAAAAAGCTTGAGAAAATAAACTCAGGAGCAAGCTGTGATAGGAATGCCATATGGGAAGCCTTGTGAGGTAGGGTCTGTAGAAAGTAGGGAGGTCCCCAAGGGAGTTTATTGGGAGTTGAGATATTAGGAAAAGGTCCTCCAGGGAGAAACACTGGAAGGCAATGCTCAGTTAAAATGAGTTAAGAACACTCCAGGGTTTACAAATAGGGGCAAAAAGTCAGGAACTTCTTCTAGTGAATGATACCCTTCAGGGTGAAAGCCTAATATAGCACAGAAAAGGATTGTAAGGTAGCCCAGAGGGTGGGCTGAAGGATAGCACAAAACTGGCAGAACAACACTTTCTTTGACTTTCAGTTGGACTTTTGCTGGGGAATTGCACTTTTAAGTGTGACCTGGCTGGGGACAGAAATCACACAGAAGACTTCTATAGAGCCAGGTGCACTGACGAAAGGGGATTCTAGAGCAGAAGAATTCCCGAAGTGTTGCATGCTGGCCCAAGGTGTTGCAAGCTTCAAAAGGGTTGGATTTCAAGCTCAATCTGCATGAGCATCTAAAACTTCAGAACCTTTTTATCCCTCCTAAAACTGGGCTGGAAGTCTCAAGGGAACAGACTGACACTTTGTAGTGCTTTCAGGTCCAGCCATGGCTATTCATACAGCAAGAACAGCTTCTTTTGTGGTATGTTAGCGCTTCTAATTCCAGGGAGGGAGGACATTTTTCTTCTTGAAATGGCCAAAGGTTCAAGGATATTCTTAGTTTTGAACCTATTTACTCATTGTCGCAGATGACACTAAGCTAGGAGAAGTAGATACATAGGAGGGTAGAGATAGGGTCCAGAGTGAACTAGACAAGTTGGAGGTTTGGGCCAAAGGAAATCTGATGAGGTTCAATAGGGACAAGCACAGAACCTGATCCTGGGATGGAAGAATCCCAAGCACGGCTACAGGGAAC